GGCACAATCGGTGCATAGTATCGGGTATCTTCAGAAGCCAGACCGAAGTTGGACGGTATCCAGTGAAGAGTCCTTGAGGCTACTAATGGATACCCACTTCCCAGGCAGCTCTGAAAGCCATACTGCAGAATATACTCAAGACAGTGGAGCAGAAATGAGCCCCACTCTCATAAACATAGTGTCAGAAAGCAACGTACGCTGGGCAATAAACAGCTTTAAGCCCTTCAAGTCGCCGGGATCAGACGGTATATTCCCGGCTCAATTGCAGCAGTCGCAGAATCACATAATGAATTGGCTAATTGCCATCCTTAAAGGGGTGCTGCAATTAAACTATATCCCTACACTTTGGAGGGAAGTCAAGGTAATATACATACCAAAGGCAGGCAAAAGCTCGCATACAAGTCCAAAGGACTTCAGGCCGATTAGCCTCTCCTCTTTCCTTCTAAAAATCCTGGAAAGACTTATAGAATTACATATTAGAAACAAACTGAAACCGGAAAAGTTGGCTGGTTCACAGCATGCGTATTCTAAAGGAAAATCCACAGAAACAGCACTAAGCTCTGTGGTGGCGGAGATTGAAAAATCTCTGGAAGCCAAAGAATACACTCTATTTGCCTTCTTAGACATAGAAGGAGCCTTCAATAATATCCAGCCTAGGGCCATACTGAGTGCGCTTAAAGATCTGGACATCTCTGAACCTCTCAGGAAATTAATTGAACAGATGCTCTTGAGCAGGTCAATAATTTCAACGATGGGAGCGTCAACGATGTGCAGATCTGTCCAAAGAGGTACGCCTCAAGGAGGCGTGTTATCCCCACTTCTCTGGGTCCTGACAATGAATAAGTTGCTGGTGGATCTAGAGAAGAAGGGGGTACATGTTGTGGCCTACGCTGACGATGTGGCAGTATCGGTCAGAGGCAAATTCCCGAATACTCTCGCAGACCTTATGCAAACGATATTGGACGATATAAATCGCTGGGCAGTATCGTGCGGATTAAATTTAAATGCTGGTAAGACAGAGATCGTATTGTTCACCAGAAAACATATTACTCCAGAAGTTACGGCGCCAATAATAAATGGTTGCAGACTAACAATTGGAGATAAGGCAAGCTACCTGGGACTAATCTTAGACAGGAAGCTCTCATGGAAACAAAACTTGGATGCTAGGGTGAAGAAGGCAGCCACAGCACTCTACACCTGTAAAAGGATGGTGGGCCCCAAATGGGGACTTACACCTCGGGTAACTTATTGGCTCTATACAGCAGTAGTCAGACCAATCATGACATACGGTATATTGGTATGGTGGCCAGTAATGGAAAAGAAATACGCGGTAAAGCGTATGGAAAGCATACAGAGAGCAGCCAGCATATGCATTAGTGGAGCTCTTAGAACAACGCCAAGTCAGGCTCTTAACGTCATTCTACACTTACTGCCAACAGACCTGTTCTGTAAACAAGTGGCAGCAAAGTCAGCTCTTAGACTGAGGGAATCCTCCCAACTAGTCGCATGCGACAAGGGGCATTCAAGGATACTCAGTATATTCCCGTTTCTACCCAAAACCACGGATTTCCGTAATCCAACAGAACGGAAGCTAAATTCGGTCCACAATATTGCCTACCCCACAAGAGAGAAGTGGAAAAGGGGCGAGGTGGACAGGAATACAGAAATTAGCATCTACACGGATGGATCCAAACTGGATCATAGAGTGGGAGGTGGTGTCTTTTGCGCAGCATTAAACACCAAAATCGCCTTCCGGTTGCCAGACCACTGCAGTGTCTTCCAGGCGGAGATCACAGCAATTAAAGAAAGCCTAGTGGTATTGACAAAAAGTGTGCTCACAACAAGGAGCATATATATATACACGGATAGCCAAGCGGCCTTGAAATCACTCAAGTCTCCAATGGTTTCATCCAAGCTAGTGAAAGATTGTCTTGATCTATTAGAGGATCTGACATCCTACTTCACAATAAACCTGCAATGGGTTCCAGGACATAGCGATATTCCTGGTAACTGCGAAGCAGATGAACTAGCCAGAACAGGCACCACTTTGCAACTAACCCCTGAAAAAGAGAGTATCTTTATGCCTCTGGCAACTTGCAAACACCTAATCGGCGAATATGCTATAAATATAGCTGAGTCTCGGTGGAGACAATCAATAACCTGCACAACCAGCAGACTAACGTGGCAGGAATGGAGCGTGAATCGCACAAACCGACTACTAAAATTTAAAAGGAGTGATATAAGAACTCTGATAGGAGTACTAACAGGTCACTGCCTAATTGGCAGACATGCAAGTAGGCTAGGTGTACCATACAACGACTATTGTAGAAGCTGTCAGGAAGCAGAGGAAGAGGAGACTGTAAAGCATCTTCTATGCGAATGTAAAGCTCTATATAGGAAAAGAATCGCAACTATCGGTCGTGGATTCCTTGACGACGTATCAGAAGTTGCTAATATAAAATTATTTGTACTGATGAACTTCATCAGGAGCACAGGTTGGTTCAGGGAGGAGACGATAGAGTGAGGGAACATTAGTCCCGGTGGTATCACAATGGGCCTCCTATAGGCCTAGGTGCGTCATTGGACAGCCACTCTACCTACCTACCTAGCATTATTCTAACATTCTTCACAGTGTGAAAGTTGACGCTATCAGACTACAACCACGCCTACTACTCATATAACACAATTTTAAAATTTATTTGAATCCAATGAATGTATCGGGATAAAGCTTTGCACGAATACTGACTTTAAAGTGAGCCAGCTTATGACCAAATATTATCCAAATCGAACCGAAACTGCTCAAGCCCATAGGTACCGAATATATGGACCCCAATTTCTATTGCGAACTATTTATCGAGAATATCGGTCAATCTGTGAGATATATTATAGAAACGCAGAGAAAATCTTTATCTGATATTGATATCCGTGTGTCAAAAATGGGTTCAGTCGGATCAATAACTCCCTTAGTCCCCATATACATACCTAAAAGAAACATTTTCGAACTTCCAGCGGACTTTATTATACCGCAAATATCGGTCCATATGTGAGTTATTTAATGAAATTAAAAGAGCGTGTTTTTCTTATAACAATGAATCTTTGTGCATAAAATGGTGTGAAAACTTGCCCTAGTAGCCATATAACTAATATCAGGATTTTAAAAGATTCGATTGACTTGATCCCGATTATATTGGTGATAATATGTGAGGTACCCTAATGAAACTCAGAGATCATCTTATTTTACCGCATATATATGTCAATATGTAAGATATCTTACCAAAAATAACTCAACAGATAATGTTGGACATACTATAGTTTAATGCTGAAAATATGTGATAGTCTAGGAATTACGTCAACACTCATATACCACATATTACGATTTTCGTTATTCTAACAAAACCTAAGCTGAATATGTCGGTCAGTGTATGAGTTATATATTTATAAAATTCTTTAATTGAAGAAATTTTCCCGGATTTGATCTTCATTCCATACTTGTTTATTAAATTTTATATGCAGTGTCTACTCATATATAATAATCAGTTCAGCGCTTGCTTTCGTTATTAACAAGGGAGCCAAAGGAAATCGTATTGCGGTGATGGATTTACATAAGTGTTAAATAGACACAAGTGAAATTTACGAGCTTCTCAAAAAACTTAATATTTCAAGAATATTTGTTTAGAAGTGGTCGACCTAGCGTAGTTTAAATCATTTCAGCCATAAAACCTGTTCGCAAGAGCATTCGCAGAAAATAGATAATTATGTCCCAAGGAAATGGTTATATCGACCAAATTTTCACTTCTGATAAGGCGTGTGAAGCAAATTACGCTAATTTAACCAAGAAAATATCGTATTTTCCGATGAAAAAATGTTGAGCAGCTGTGGTTTCGTCTCCTGTAAAGTCGTTACACCTCTCCACACCTGTGAAAAAAGAGGTTAAAACTAGGACAAAAGTTTACCAGTAGGATATTTAAAAAGGCGTGGTAAAGCACTTACGCAATTCACTCTTCGATGGAGGACATTGGATCTTCCAGCAACATTCTGCTCCAGCACACAAGGCAAAAAACACACAGCAGTGCCTTAAAAGCAATATTTTTGGATTTTAGATTTGAATCCATTGGACTACAGTTTGTAGTCAGAGTTAGAGAACATGGCCTCTCGAATACTCCACAGAGATTTGGAGTTCTCAAAAGATCTTTGGTTGGAGCACTGCGGGTGCTGCTATTTATCAAGGCCGAACCGTTTGAGGGCTTATGTAAAAGTAAACGGTGACCGTTTCAAATCAAATTTCCTATGGTCTATCGTGCCCTCTCCTGTTATCTGAACACTTCATCTAACCCAGTTGAATTGAAGAGGCTTAGTAAATCCGCTGGGTTATTGGATGTGTTGTGTTCTTTTACCGGATTTATTTTCCCGATAGCAGTACGGACATAAATCTGTCGAACAGTATCCCAATTTCTGCAGAGGACACCTTAATCTGCAGTGAGCTTATCAAATTCAGCTCCCTGGGAAGAACAATTTTTGCATAAATATTTTTGTATGTAACTATCCTAGAAAAAATTTCGGCCATCCGCCGGAGTTCATCTTGTAATGTGTAGGGGAACAGAGAACGACTCCGGTCCTATTGGCTTGGTTGCCGCAGTTTCTTTCGTTAAAATATCGGCAATAGAATTTTAAATACTTGGACGTATGTACATAAGTATGTCGAACATTTTGGGATATTTAGACTAAAAAGTTTCGTGTAATATCTATTTATTATGACACATATATGATCAATTTTTATTAAAAATTAATAATAGTGCCAATGCAATTGTTTAGTTAGTAATTGTGCAAGTGATTACAGTATCTTACTACATAAAAACACCGTTTATCGTTTATATTTTGCCATCGGATATGAAAAACTATTACCATTAACAATGTTTTAACCGAGTTATTAGAAAAATGTATTCGATTAAGCGATCTATTTCCATTTGAAATTTTTTTATTAGATACATAGTACAACTTACTTTCCCAAAATGTCATCCATGTCGCCTCGGGAAGGCGTAACACCTCGATATCTACCTTTGCAGGAAAGTGGCATTAATTCATCGGCAGGATAGGCATTGTCCATATATGCCCGATATGCATGATAAAACATGTCCCTTGCTTCATACCTTGTATTATTGTATTAATTGTAAGACAAATTTGATTTTTATAAAATTTTTCACTTACCTCAATTCGTCGCGTTCCTTCCGGGACATATTTTGAGTTGGTATACTTTCACTTAAGGTCAAAGCAACAAAGCTGATCAAGGCTAATATACTAAGCACAACCACATTGTGATTTGAAAATATTGAAATGTTTTTTGTATTCATGTTGGATTGTGATACTACGACTTGTTTTAATAAGAGCTATTTAATCAAAATCTTCTGTTTAAGAAAAAAAAAAGTTCATATTAACTGTCGACAAACAAGTAGTTTTACATACATACATATACCAGTGTTCTTTTCCATTCAGTCTTAATACGAATTATTTTTGGTTACATTAAGACTGTCGGTTTGCAAAAACACTTTGAACGTTCATATTGAATAAATTAAGTGTATAAAGATTTTTTAAAATTGTTTTTCTTGCAATTAGTAACCACGTCACAACGTTATAAAATTGTTTGAATGCTATTTTTAAAATTATATGCTAACAGCCTTACATGTTTTAAATATTGTGGTTTTGATCTGCCCAAATGAATTTATCAACTTACTATAACATGCATTTTAAAACATATGGAAAATAAATTTTTATAACATCAAGAACGTCCGCCATAGGTTGAAATAACGTTGCTACTCAATAATAAAGATATTAATTTTTCCGTAAAATTTTTGGAAACTTTATATCGAAAGTTTTATATGTAATCTTAGCGCGAACATTTATATTCAATAACTCTGCTACATCACAACTTTTATTTACTTCCCACTTTTTGTTATAGCTGGCAAATAATTTGTTATAAGCGGTTAGCACAGCTGTCAATTAACTTTGTGTTGCCATTTCAATATTTTTTTTATCTTAGATTGGCTTGCTAAATTAGACAGTGTGACCATCGATAACTTTTATCTCTGTGTTGAGTTGGGATAAAAAAATTAACTACGGTGCCTCTGTGTTGAGTTGGCTGAAATATTTTTTATGGTGGCTGTATACCAAACGGTAAAATTTATATCTGTGTAAAACAAATTTCGCATTTTGCTGTGACAAATGGAAAGTACAATTTTGACGGTTGAGGTTAAAAACAAACGCAATTATGTTTGAATTTTTGTCTTGTTAAATAAATCATTAAATACATTCGTCATATAAATACAAATTTACAAAAAAAAAATTATATTAATGAAACTAGAAAATTGCATTCATATGTGGGGTTATTACTAATAGAGCCCCCGGGAGAAAAAATTAGGCACAGGGGTAAAAAGATAAGGGCTACCTCCCTTCAGGAATGTTTCCAATATTTTATACATTTTATTAATCATTTTCCCACTTACTACTTCAATGTTTTTGAAGTCAAATACGACCTAGTGCTTTATGCTCTCATCACATCTGTATTCAATTTGCGTTCTTGTTTATGTTGCGTGGAACAAATTTGTTTTGTACGACTTTGAAAATCAATAATGTTCAGTTTATGCATAGAATTTCAGTCAAAAATATTTTTTCAGATTATACTAGAATATAGGCATAGCAAGGCTTGACAGTTAGTAAGAAGACAGAAACATTTCATTCATTTCGAGCTTTGGCAAAGCGAATGCGTCGATAATAGTCTGGAAATCAAATTTCTTGGTTGATTCTGACTCTAGCCACAATGTAGCTAGCCCTGAAATCTTGCCCTGGTTAGCATGATCGATGAAAATCTTTTATCCTTTCTAGATCACTAAACGAACGTTCACCACTTGAAACAGAAACGAGTAAAGTGCAAAATATTCTCAAAGCGATGCAAATATTTGTGAAAAGTCTTCCTTATTTTTAGAGCTTTGATGGCAGTCAATAAGTTGTATGGAGTAAAACGAGTTTCAAAATTTGCATCGTAGACGTGTCTGTGGTGAATAGTTTCATTGGACAACTTATCAGATACATTAACGGAATACTTTCTTGCAAAATTTTTTGCAGTTGCGTTAAGTTCATCTTCTTTTATATCATGGAACTGCCATATAAATGAGAACGATTCGCCTATGTCACTTACCGCGGTGAATATTCTCTTCAATCCACAGATAACGCTGTCAAGTATGACGTAGAAAGCATGGATAAAATGAACCGACACTCTTTGATTCGAGAGAGCGCTGTCAAAGTCCACATTTTTTATAACAATTGACAGTGGTGCTATTAAGGAAAGAAATAAGTTTTGAGATTTTTTAATGTATTTCTTGGATATTTTTCGTTTTCCATTTTCCAGAAAAATATACATAATTAAAATTAGTTTAACAAGCTAGATATCCTATATAACGTCTAAATATATGTACGTGTATACTTTAATCACAAAAGTTTTTCAAAATTTACTTTTAAAACTAAATTTAACCTAATTTCTTTTTTATATACTTTATAAGCAAGACAATAATCTGCGAGAAAATACCCGCTCTTTCTTAAAAACAAAACTATATTAAAACTCTTTAAATAAAGATTACAAATATACGTAAAAGTCAACAAAAAATCTGATCTCACAAATTACCCACTGATTTCGCAATTTATTTCTGCGGGATTCTTAGTGGTAGTTCATTGTTTTGGTTGTCATCTGTTTAGTAGCTCATGAACTCGTGGTTTTTCTTGGCAGCACTGAAAGTTCATGAGCTCTCTCAAAAGGCAAAGAGAGGAGTTTCGGATCATTTGATCTATGCTGAAAAGGCCAGGCCGTCAGCTAAAAAACTAAATACAAAGGGTGTAACGTCCACAAAAAAAAAACACAAATCGTTTGCTGATGTGGCCCGAAACCGTATTATCATTGGTGTGCTGGATGAGGGAGATCTCGAAGGAAGAATCCCCAGATCCCAATGGAAATGGGTGTAAGCTGCGCTAACAAACGTACGCTGGAGGTGCTACTAAGCAATCCGGCTCCGCCACCGTCATGCACAGATGCCTGCTGGTACCAGGGCCACATCAAAATGATTTCTTGCGACGACGAAATCGGTCCACTCTATAAAGCTGCTATAGCCAAGGTAGGGGAGGTATATCCCGGAGCTAAGTTAGTAGCGGTAGATAAGAAAGAAATCCCGTCCAGAATAAGGGCAAGGGTCTGAATCAAGGCTACACCATCACAGCATGACCATATAATGCAGCTCATAAGAGCCTTTAATCCGAGTCTGCCTACATAGGGGTGGAAATTCGTTAAGGCCTTCGAGGACCCCGCAGCAGAATCTAGCATCGAACTGCTGGCGAAAAGTGGCAGGGAGATCAACTACTGATTCACGATGTCGATGCTGCGTACCACCTAGCATCGGAAAACGAGATGGGCGAAGTCGAGGAAGATATTATGGAGTCCTCGAGTGATATGGAAAGTTTAGAGCAAGATGAGTGTTCTTCGGAGTCTGAGCGTGCAGACAGGCTCTTAAGCCTTTATACTGAGAAAGAAAAAGCTCTTAAGTGACTCTCGCCATATAGCAACCATACAGCAGTAAACTGGAAAGCGGGCGCAAGTAGTTGCCGCCTGATGTTAGGCTATATACCATACTATGAGAAGCAAGTACCAACTCAGCTGATAAAAGAGTTTTTACGGGACAACGAGGCATCCAAGTGCATAACTTCACTCTAACGCAGGGGTGGCACAGACGTCAATGCCAGAGGTGAGTGCTCTATAACTACTTACTACGCACTAAGCTTCTGTTGTGTAACAATGGTAGTATGCCAACATTTATCACAAGAAACCGAAAAGAAAAACTAGATATCACACTTATGTCAGAAGAACTGTTAAATAGTATGACCTAATGGAAAGTTCTTGAAGAACACTCCTTTTCGGATCACCGATATATTGAATGTATTATTGAAGAAAGAGCGGATAGAGTCAACAATTTCAGGAATGATAGAAAAACGCACTGGCGGGCGCACATGCAAGAGCTCAAAAAACGTATCCCTATTATTCCGCCATTTCAGACCAAGAACAAGGAATACCTCGACATCCTCGTTAAACGACTCACGGAATCTTGTCAGCAAACATTAGAGGTAGCTTGTCCAATAACACGTAGTAGGGGTAGAGTTAGGCCCCTATGGCCCCTTAAAAATTACAGAAAGACTGCAGAAAGCAGTTTAGTTTAGCTAAACTATCTCTAGGCGAGAAAGGTTGGGATAGTTATTACAATCTCCTAAGGTCATACCAAAAAGAGGTTAGAAAAACAAAAAGAAATTATTTGAACTCATTTGCAATGATATCGAGAATACGGCGGAAGCGTCTTGACTTAGGAAAATAATGGCACAATTGTTGAATAGCATTGGATACCTTCAGAAGCCAGACTACAGCTAGACGGTATCCAGTGAAGAGTCTTTACGCCTACTAATAGATACCCACTTCCCAGGCAGCTCTCAAAGCCATACAGTGGAGTAGGGATAGATTCCACGCCTATAGATATAACGTCATAAAGCAATGTATACTAGGCGATAAAAAGCTTCAAGCCCGTCAAAACGCCAGGACCAGACGGTTAATTTCCGGCTCAATTACAGCAGTCGCAGAACTATATAATAGGTTATCTAGTTACCATTCTTAAAGGGACGCTACAATTAAACTATATTCATTCGCTCTGGAGGAAAGTCAATGTATGTCAATGTACAGAAACAGCACTAAGCTCAGTGGTGGCAGATATTGAAAAATATCTGAGGGATAAATAATACACTCTAATTGTCTTCTTAGATATCTGGATATGGACATCTCTTAACCTCTAAAATTAATTGAACGGATGCTCACAAGCAGGTCAATTATTTATACGCTGGGAGCTTCAACGATATACAGAGTCCAAAGAGGTACACCTTAAGGAGGCGTGTTTTCTCCACTTCTCTGGATTCTAAGAATGAATAAATTGTTGTTGGATCAAGAAAAGAAGGGGGTACATGTTGTGGCCTACGCTGACGATGTGGCGGTTTTGGTTAGAGGTAAATTCCCGAACACTCTCGTCAACCTTATGCGAACAATTATAAATGATATAGATCGTTGGGCCGTATCTTGCGGACTAAACTTAAATGCTAGTAAGAGGGAGCTTGTATTGTTCACTAGGAAATACAGTACTCCAGAAATTATGGCGCCAGTATTAAATGGTACCAGACTAACAATTGGAGACAAGGCAAGCTACTTAGGACTTATCTTATACCGGAAGCTGTCAAGGAATAAAACTTACACTCTATACAATAATGGAAAAGAAACACGTGAGGCGTATAGAATGCTTACAAAGAGCAGCCAGTATATGCATCATTGGAGCTCTTAGAACAACGCCACCCCTTAGTAAGTTTCCGTTTTTACTCACTACCACAGATTTTCGAAATCTAATAGAATTTAAACTAAATTCTGTCCCCAATATTGTTTTCCCTTCCAGAGAAGAGTGAGAAATGGGCGAGGTGGACTTTTCAGCAAAATTAAATACCAAAATGCCTTCCGTTTACCAGACCACTGCAGTGTCTTCCAAGCCTAGGTCACAGCAATCAAAGAAAGCCTTGTTGTTCTGACAAGAAGTGTGCTCACAACAAGGAGTATATTTATATATACGGAAAGCCAAGCGGCTTTGAAATCACTGAAGTACCAAATGTTTCGTCAGAGATAGAAAAGAATTAGTTACACGATGGAATGGGTTCCTGGTCATAGTGATATCCCTGGTATCTGCGAAGCAGATGAACTAGCCAGAGCAGGCACCACCTTACAATTTGTCTCCGAAAAAGAGGAAATTTGGCCACTGTAAACATTTAATCGACGAACATGTTATAAATTTAGCTAAGTCTCGGTGAAGTTAATCCCTGACTTGCTCAACAAGCAGGTAAACGTGGCATGAATGGAACATGGGCCGCACATGCCGGCTATTAAAATTCAAAAGGAATAACATAAGAACTCTAGTAGGACTGCTAACAGGTCACTGTCTAATTGGTAGACATGCTAGCAGAATAGATGCACCATACAATGACTATTGTAGAAGCTGTCAGGAGGTAGAAGAAGAGGAGACTGTGAGACATCTTTTATGCAAATATAGGACCCTATCAAGAAAAAAATGTAACTATCGGTCGAGGGTTTTTAGACGACGTAAAACTATTTGTACTGAAGAATTTCATTAGATGCACGGGTTGGTT